CCTGGGGAGAGCAGAGTGCAAGAACAGTGCAACAAATGTTTGCTTTTCCTCAGCTTCTTTCTCATGTCCCGAGTTGAACAGAAATTCTTCTAAAGATGGTTTGGAGTTAGGTAGCAGTAATGGGGAAAATTAAGAGTGAAAAAGTGCTGAGGACACAAAGAGTCTTTCAAATGTGTGTGCACATATAGGCAGTGGCTCTAGCTCCTCCCAGGGACATTTCATAAACAGTTGTTTGTCCACAACAAATAGATCCCCCAGAACACTCAGAGCCTCGGGATATGTCTCTCTGAGGACACTGTTAATTGCTTGCAGCCCATGTTGAGTTTTATGAACTTCTGGGTAGGTTTTTGATCATGTCCAAGTTAGCTGGGCGAAATCTCGTTCATACAAAATGATGCTGCAGTCTAATTTCAGCTAAAACGAGGAAAAAAATGTGTGTTCAGTGATACCTCTGAGAAAATTCAGGAGTCTTCAGTAGGAAATGGCTCACTGCTTTCTGCCTTAATACACAAGTAGCTTTTTCCTGCAGTGGTTTAGGCCCTGGGAAGGAAGAGTGAGTGCCCTGAGTTGTATTGGAGAGAGGATAAGGATTCTTTTAGACTGGCAAGCCAACAGCACCAAGTGCACAAGTGATGAATTTACTTTATTATTCAATCAAGCTCTTTTGCATGTGCCCTTACTCCTGAGCATTTGCTCTACACTTTTAGCCTTAATGTTGCTTTTCCATGGCAATAATTTGAGCCTATTTCAAGTCTCTCTTGGCTATTAAGTCATCTACTTTAGTGAGGGAATATCCACTCCTAAAACTGTACACATAGTATTTCCTAATATATTTATCGTCATTAAATAAATTGTTCCAATTTAATTATCCTTTCTTCCATATTAATAGTAAGATTTTTTTACCTTTTTGCTTAATTCGCTTGTCTTATAGGTCTATGTTTCTTCGTCTTGTTATAGAGTGATCAATTGCCCTTTCAGATGAGGACTTAGCACCTTCTGTGTGTTAATTTGTTGGGCTTTTTTTTCCCCTTTTAATTTCTCACATAGCTTAGTGTGTTTTTGTTGGTATGTTTGGGACAGACACTCATAACTTGTCCCTTTAAAAATGCTGGGTCTCTTGAGTCTTTTTGTTTGAATGGTTCAAGTTCTGTAATACTCTCAGGCTATTCAAATCTTAATCAGCCACTCTTAAGAATGACTGTCATCTGCCGTGGTGTTGCCCAGTTGTCTGGCTAGTTAAGCAGCTTCAATATCTGAAATATTTATTGTGTGGCAGAAGTTGGTGTAGATGCCTTTGCACTCGCACAAACATACTTTTGCGTGAAAGAATTTTGTTTTGTTTACTGAAGTGTCACACACAATAATAGCAAAAAAGCTGGAGGCTTGCTGGTATAGCTGTGGACAAAGACTGGGGAGGTGAAACTGTGCCAAACTGTGGAGTGAGGAATCTGAGGATAGGAGCAATAAAAGACCACTTGAAGGCTGGAGTCTGGCAAAATTAAGACTCTTGAGAAAAATTTCCAGCAGTGTCTGTTGTGTAACTTTAGCTTTCTATTTTATGTAAATATTCATCCATTCTTGAGAGGGGGGAAAAAAAGACCTGTTAATTTTTTTTTCTTTTCCATTCCTTAGGAAGAATATACTGCCCTTCAAAATTGATGGAAAAAACTGATTACTATAGAAGGGCATTTTTAATAGTTTGCAAGACACTAATCATGTTATTTCTTATGGGTTAAAACCTTTTTCAGGGTCTGATACTACACTTTAAATAAAGTGTTAAAGTCTTACATGCTTTTAGCACACAGACCTCTTCTGAAGCCTTTGTTCTGTTTGCAAAGCTTTGGTGTCTCATGTCTTTATTTATAATTGGCACCTGTTCTTTGCTCTCTCTAGTTTTATATGGAGCATATCCCAGTTATATTGGGGGGTTTAAAAAAAAGGTGATTTCCCCCCCCCCGCAGTGAAAACATTTATCAAACCTCATGTTCCTTAGGGATGAGGAATGACGTAGCATCACCTGGACAAGAGTGGGGAGTTGGTTGGCCTTGTTCAGTGGGTGGTTTCCTGCCAGCCAGGGCTGTGTGCCGGTGCCATGGCCACACGGATCAGTGGGAGCATGACTGGAGTGCTGGTTTGTGCTTATCTGCACTGGCAGTACCAGACATGTGTCCCACTTGTTACAGTTTTGTACCTGACAGTTCTCTTCACACCTGGGAGAGTGCCATGGATATTTTTGGGGGCTTTGACAGTGCATTGCTGCCGTCACACCTGTAGGTATTTCAAATATTAAATGTAGAGCTTTATCCAACCAAGATTTTTGGCTTAGTGCCTAAGACAAGGTAGGGTTTTTTTTCTAAATTAAATGTGACTGTTAATCCATGGAATCATCTGCAGAGTAAACAAGCTGTGATTCCACAGTCATATTAAGAAATTTTGTTTCTGAAATCAGAAACAGAAAATCAGGTTATTATGATCCAATTGTCTCTCTAAATTCTTAATTGATTCCTGAAATGATCTGTTTGTTGATGGTTATTTGGGTGCCTGTGAGTTTTCCTGCAGATCATACATAGTTTCAATGTGCTTTCAACTCATGCAAGGCCAATTAAAACACTTCAAAATCTTTTAGTTACAAGTAACTCTTTTCCAGCAAAATTTGATGAGGATGTTGTATTTAAATAGTGTTTCACTGAAGGAAAGAGCAAACAACTCTCAAAGGACAAATTTCTTTGACTTAAACTTACCGGTTTTGTATCCATTTCCACCCACTGTGTCCTTGAGAAGTCAGGTAAGGAGAGGGTACTTAAGACAAATTTTGAAAGATTTTGGTAGCATATTTTAGAATTGTCCCTGGCATCAGTGGGTCCTTTTTTGCTTTGTGGGTTCTTTGTTTTTTGGGTTTTTTTTTAAATTGAGCAATTGAGCTTTTTTCATCTTAAAAGAACAAACAAGTGTAGAAATACAGGAGGCTTAGCTGGTGCTGTCAGTATCAACAGAAAAGAGATGTCCAACTTAGATGAGAAATGGAAAAAATAGGTATTCTAAACTGTATTTTCACTCATGAGTAAGCAAATAATATTATGGAATGATGCTAATCTCCTTTGGTACTAATAGGGTGCCAGGATTGATTTCAGGTGATTTTCCCACACATAATCTAATGTGTATTTAAATACGATATTTGAAATGTGTGAAAATCGGCTCCACAGTGGTGATGATGGTCTGGGTTTGTGTTTTTCCTGGTTGTATCTAAAGAGCACTTGGAGCACACACAGTGTGCTAGAATCTGCTTCTGGGAATTTCTGACTGCAACATCCACTTGAAGTATCATTTACAGCTTAAATGCATTAGAACCACATGGCTTCCTGTCAACTTAAAAAAGAAAAGAAAAATTGCCCTCAAGACTATTTTGTTGGGTTTTTGTTTGACTTTGCTCCATTGTGAAAGGCTGAAGCAGCAGATTTTTGAAGCTTCTGTAGCTTCTGTGTGCATACCATGTTTTAGTGACTATGGTTTTTCCGTTTTCAAAAATAAAATATATCTGCTTCTCAGAAAATGCTGCATTTTTCATGACCTTCATGAAACTTGGCAGTGAATCCTGTGTTCTTTCAGTGTTTCACATCCTCAGCTGAATGTACTCAGAACTTTTCAGTGGTAAAGACTAAGGGCTTATTTTTACTGTTGGAATGAAGAGTATCCAGGCATGACCTAGAGTTTCAATTTTCAATTGAATAGAACAGGTTTACAGCCTAAAGTTGTATTATTTCACATTTCTTTAGTAGGGAAGTGATTTCAGTTACTGAGATGATGGAAGACGCAGATATGTTGTGTTACAGCTATTTTCTCCTGCCATTGAGAATATATTTATTTTTATATTCCCTACAATGTATGTGTTTGTCGATCATAATGAATTACATTAATTCAAAAAGAGTCTTGAATTCAAAACTCAAGAATTCTGAATTTGGAAGAGGGTTGAGAATTTTTTATTTTTTTTTTTTAAGAACAGTCCAGTATATCACAGCAGAAAAAGGCACTGAAAAAGGGAAGAGGACTCAAGAACAGAGGAAAAAGGCATCACCTGCAATATTATACCCTTGTTTATAACAGTTAGAAATGTGTGTGGTATTTAGGCATTTCTTTGTATCTTGTAATTGAAATTACATTTAATGTTTTGACTTGATGTTTTGCGCTGTGGCACTTCGTGCTGCTGGACACCAGATGGTGCTGCTAAACCGGCTGATGAGTAATTTTCACACTTGGAGTAATTCTTACTTGATTTAGTTCCAAACTTGGGCATGTACTGTCTGACCAGGTGTATATTATGCAGAACTCCACCTGCTAGCTCAGCCCAACACCTTGTGTTGTTTAAGGGCAGTGATCTGAAAATGATGATATAAAGCAAGTGGGCTGTAGAGTCAATATTTTAGATCTCACTGGGCAAAACCCACCATCAGCTGGTGTTCCTGCTAATTTATGTACTTGAACTTCAGCAATTTGTTTTAATAAAGTGTCATTTACATTTCACTTGATAACTGCAATCAGAAAACTTCGGGTGGAGGCACCTTTAGTGCCAGGCTAAAATGCCAAAGGATATTTGCAGAGACTAATTCAATATAATGAAGATGATGAGGGAGGGTTAGAGTTTGGTGGGCTGCCAAAAAACTTTGAGTTGTCTGCTATTACTTTTGGTTTGAGAAGATGTGCTATGAGATATGTAATTGCATTGCAGACAGTGTTTATGATACTGTGATATACATTCAAAATTTGATTTCTATTTATTTTAAGTTGGTTCTCATGTTTAGTAAATTCATCTGATAATCCCAATTGTGGGGCTGAAGGGATGGAATAAGACATTTTGGTATTCAGCTGAATCCCAAAGGCTGGTGGGCTGGTGGTACAGTTTATCAGTAGATTATAAATAATGGCCTCAAATTTATTTGAGCAGTGAGGAAATTTTTTTATAGATATTTTACTGTGTTTTTCTTACAAGTTTATTTCTTTTATAGATCCCCATATTAAAGTTTCTGGAAAAAAAGAAAACGTTAAAGAAGCAAAAGAGAAAATCATGTCTGTTTTGGACACAAAAGTAAGAAAACTTGCTTAGAGTGATACCTTAGCCCCTAATTTTGTGGTGATATTGATCTCTTTAACGGGCATATTTCAAGAGAAGGTATTTATGGACTTTATGGAGCAAAGTCTCCAATAAATGCCTTGCAGATGTTGATATTGGTGTATACCCACATATTTAAGCATTTTGCAAGAAAAATACTTGCTTGAAGCAGCTTTTCCAGATCTGAATTATATAGAAATAGTATTTCCAGCCATATGACTAAAAGCATAGGTGATTTGTTCAATGAATTGAGGTTTTACTTCAAAATCTGAAATACAGCTTCATTGCAAGCAATAGATTATGCAACCACTGCAGAGAACCTAAAATTTTGTTTGTTTGAAATTTGATTTTAGGAGTGTTGATGCTGTTATGTGTTTAATAGCTACTCTGTTCTTACACTCTGAAACATCAGGACCGGATCTGGATTTTGGTGGGGGTGGGGGGAGGTCTCTTCTGTTGATCAGATACTGTTTCCATTCAGCAGCAGCTCTTTTGGGGCAGTGTGAGTGATAAGCACCACTTTTTGCACAACTATTAACAACATTGCTATGAGCTGTGAACAACAGAGCTTTGAAGAATAGCTTTAGGCAGTGTTTGTGTATATTAAAAATTCATCTAACAAAAAAAATTGTTTAAGGAAGAAACAACACTGTTACTTGGTCCCATGGCTTTGATTTGCAAAGTCTTCATAATGCGATCCTTTCAGATCAAGCAGGGGTGTGTGACTTCAACTGAAAGAACATAGAATTAAAAGATATTAGATTAATTGCAAAAGGACATTGAAGTAAAAGTTGATGAAAGTCCAGAGGTATTTTAAAAGCCTTAGTCATTTTTTTGAAGATGCATCCTTTGGACTATTTATCTCCACATTATTTCCTCACTAGAAAAAAACAAGACCAAATTGATATCAAACTGATTGCCATTAAAAACATCATCCTTGAGTGGAAGTTAAGTAATAGCAAAAATACCTTGGAAATACAATTTTCATGTCGTTCTTGAAGTTATGTTAGCCTTAAAAACTTAAATACTCGGGTTCGGCTGTGACCGTGTCTAACTGTGGGTGCTTGATTTCCAGAGCAATCGGGTAACCTTAAAGATGGATGTTTCACATACAGAACATTCTCATGTGATAGGTAAAGGTGGCAATAATATTAAAAAAGTGATGGAAGAAACGGGATGCCATATCCATTTTCCAGACTCAAATAGAAACAATCAAGCAGAGAAAAGCAACCAAGTAAGTATTAATATCGAGCTCATTTGTATTGTAATTCCCTAGAGTATAAAACATTTCTAAACTTCTCTCATCAGTGTGATTTTTTTGGGGATGGTGTGCTCATGTTCAGGGAAATAGACTTTTGGTATTTACACTGTATGGAAAGTGCAGGGCTTCCTAAGTGAGCAAATCTTACAGATGGAAACAATTTGTGATGGCTCATGAATCACTTTAATTTTTTTAAGCTAAAATTACTTTGCACATGCAGAAGTCAGCAACTTAGTGTGAATGGTAGAGAAGTGGTATGAAAAAATCTGCTTTTGTAATTTTTTTCCTGTTCAACACAGTGACTTACCCAGCATAGTGATTAATTTTTTGGTACTTTTTGCTTAATATATAACATAGTTGACGACTAAACTTAGCAAATAGCCAGCAGAAATGAATGTCCTATTGTAAGAGTTCAACTTCATTAGAATGACTCATTGAGCCTGAATTGTACATCTTTTCTTGTGCTAATATTAGTGCAATGTTTAGTTTCAAGTCTCTCATCCTTGTACTTAGAATTCCCACTTGTGCATTCTAATGGCTGCTGAGCAAAATACAGTAATTTCAAAACATTCAAGAAAACCTACTGTTGCCAAATATTAGCATTGAGCACGTGTATACATTAGTAATTCTGTTATTTGACCTAAACCACTGTATTTTTTTGATGTATCCTTTTTTTCTAGCTGCTTAAATACATATAATCTAAGATGCTGTAAATTTATTTTACTGTCGGCTGTAGTTCTCAGCTAGTGTTTAGAGAGCAATTAGGATGTCAGCAGATGTGAAATGTGTTGATTTTTTTTTTAGATTTGTTTTTTTTTGGGAGAGCACAGCTATCTGAATAACTTTTCCATGCCTCACTTCAAAATAGGATGCAATGTTTTTCATATTCTTGCTCTTCCAGGTGTCTATTGCAGGACAGCCAGCTGGAGTGGAGTCCGCAAGAGTCAGAATTCGGGTAATGCTCTAGCTCAGTGTAGGGTCCCTTTGAAAACACCTGCCAGGGAAAAAAATGCATGGTTTTGAGAACCCTAGGGTTGTCTGCCTCTGTCTGATGACAGCCAAAATGTAGGAACAAATGTGAGTATACATATGAGGAATTTGCCAAGGGTATTATACCACTGATTCACATTCTGGCCAAATATTTAACTGGCCCAGAGTGGATCATGAACATGAGGTCTATGTTCTAAGCAAGATGTAAATGAATTCCATACTGTGTAGAAAATTACATCTTAACTTACCCACCACAGATGGCCTGTGGAAGATCAGGCATCTTATGTGAATCTATGAATTGGGAAAGGCAATTTCTGCTTCTCACATTTTAACTGTTTTCATGTATAATTTGTGTAAAAAATTGTGTCATTCTGTACTTGTAGCTATTTTCTATCTTTTCCATTTAGCTTCAACTCTTATGTGCATTTTGGCATGGATAATTAAAAATCAAATAAATTAGAAAAAGCTTACTGCAATTTTTTAGCCAGACTTGTCGCATGACCTTATTCCAAATTCTCCCGCTATTTTGGAGCATTGAAAAGAAAAATCAACCAAACAAAACTCAAAAAAGCCTCTGCAAAAAAACTTCACTCTAGTATCCCTCAGGGAAAAAATGTGCCTTTTTCCAAGTGACAGTATAGTTTTATCCATGAGCTCTGGGCAGAGGATGTGTTTGGTCAGTTAAATCATCACTGACCAGTACATTATGATTGAGGACTAAAATTGTTGTAGTTTGAGTATGGATGTGGTTTTCAATATCTGCCCTTCATTACTGTTGTAGGAGCTGCTTCCATTGGTACTCATGTTTGAATTGCCTATTGCTGGAATTCTCCAACCCATCCCAGATCCGAATTCTCCAACCATTCAGCATGTATGTCAGACGTATAACGTTTCAGTTTCCTTCAAACAGCGCTCTCGAATGTATGGTGCTACAGTCATTGTCAGAGGGTCACAAAACAACACTAGTGCTGTGAAGGTAATCTCTGCTCCTGAAAAGGTTTCTGAATGTCATATATTTATAATTTATGTCTAAGATGGTATGTCTTTCCTCATCTGCACATGTTATTGTATAATCACTTGCAAACCCAGAGAATTTGCATTTTTTCCTTTACTTAACTTATACAGGCAATGTTTAAAAGTGCATAGAAAATAGTTCTAAATTTTAAGTTTAAAATAAGTTTAGGATTTAGCATCGTTGATGGTAAGTTCACCTCCTGCACATTTGTTCAGGTTTTTGGGAATTCTGGAGCACGTACTAGTCTTACCCATCTTTCAATTCAAAAACAACTCAAACAAAAAACAAATTGTTCATGCTGAGCTCTTCTCAATATGCACATAATTATATAACCTTGAAAGTTGCCCAGTCAGTCAATAAAACTGGTCTTGCAAATCCAGCGCTTGGAGATGTAAATTTGACAGTCAAGGCAAGGAATTGCCATGAGCACGTTCATCTCAATAAAGTAAAAAAGTGTTCTTGTTAGGAACTGGAAGAACGAGAGATTGATGTCCCAGCTGGGTGTATCTCAAGCCAGTAAGAACATCTGAGCCCAACACCAAGAGGCAAGTTCTGCGAGTGTACCTAGCCAGATAAATCTCATTTGACTTTCTGACTGCCTTTGTGGCCACAAAAGGTCTGCTGGGACCAAACCATGCAGCATTGTCTGTTACAGAGTGGCAATTAAATGCTGTATTCAGTCATAAAATGGGAGTAGGAGGAAGAGTTTAGTGTATTTCTTACCTTTAACAAATCAATCATGGTTTTAAACCCAACAGTGTTTTCTTACCTTGCCTGTAGAGTGCATGACAGGAAAGGAATTGGTCTGAGACCTCCTTTTGTGTGCCTGTGAGCACTATTTCACCGGTTTCTCCCATTTCCCCCCAGGAGGGAACAGCCATGCTGTTGGAACACCTGGCTGGGAGCCTGGCCTCTGCAATCCCTGTGAGCACACAGCTCGACATTGCAGCGCAGCATCATCTCTTTATGATGGGTCGAAATGGAAACAACATCAAACATATCATGCAACGGACTGGTGCTCAGATCCACTTCCCTGACCCTAGTAACCCACAGAAGAAATCCACTGTCTACCTCCAGGGCACAATTGAGTCTGTCTGTCTTGCCAGGCAATATCTCATGGTAAATACTTTCAGTGAAGCTTGTGTGACAAAATTGCCAGATCATAGAAAATATGCTTGCTCTGTATCTATTTACAAGTCACATGTAAATTAGCCTTAGAGAGGAAGGATTGCTGTTCACACTGCAAACAGCTGATTCAATTTTTGCCGGGGTTTTATTGGTGTTTGTAGTTATTGAAAATATTTGTAATCTCTGGTAACACGACTTGAAAAATAACCATGGTAAAATAAATGCAATGTAAGTCATTTAAACTTACAATAACAATATGCCTCTGAATAGAGGCAGATTTATGAAATAGACTGTGGGTGTTGGGTGACAGGTTGTGTTTTATTTTGCCAACCTGCCTTTTCTATGTTTGTCACGTAAATAGGTTTCTTTTGAGGGAAAATGTCAGGAAATCCTTAGCTGCCATGTAGGCAAGTTTCCAATGAAATTGGGAAACCATAAGAAATAATTATTTTGATGTCTTATATTCTTTATAGTACCACAGCCTCAATTCTGTAAGGCCTTTTATAAAAATAGCTCTGGTGGTACATATCATTAGAGATTATTGGTATATTGGTCTTTAAACTTCCCAGGAGCCTTTAGCCATTATTTTAGTACTAATATACACATTTTTTATATATGTGAATACTGAGGGACAAAATATGCAAGGACTAGACCATTCAGTTTTACTCTAAAGCTTTAGTATTTCAAGAGCATTACAGATGTTATCCATATCACTAGAAAATATTTATGTAGCTGATCTGGAATGGGCAAGAGAAGAGTAAAATTTAAGACTTGGGCAATGGTGAATTAGAGATTTTTTACAAGTGTGTTTCCTTATTTCAAACAGTTTAATGGGAGACTTTTAGTTCTTCCATCATTTCCTGATAAGACTGTGCTGATTGAAATGTGAAATATTCAGTATATCATTTCACCCTTGTGCTACCAAGCTCTGTGTTCAGAGTCCCAGAACTGGAAGATACACCTGTATTCTTGCATACAAGGAAATGGCTTTCTCTAAAATTTTATCGGTGCTATTTTATCCTGAACTTAGACATTTCCTTACATCATGATGTGTAAATGTTACATTGTTCAGTTTATTGCTACCATTTTAATGGGAAAATGGTCAGTTACAAGTCCTAGGAATCTTTTGTGCCTTTCTTTTCAGGGTTGCCTTCCCCTTGTGCTCATGTTTGATATGAAGGAAGAAATTGAAGTAGAACCACAGTTTATAACACAGCTAATGGAGCAGTTAGATGTCTTCATAAGCATTAAGCCTAAGCCAAAACAACCAAGCAAGGTTTGTGCAAAGCTAATATTTTCCTTTTAGACTTTGATGACAAAGTTTTAGAGTTGATGAGTTGATGTGTGCTCTTCCCTCCCAGTTTAATGGATCATAAACCTGTGAAAACCGTATCTATTTTCTTCTTGAAATATCAGTTTAAATGATCCAGCAGCTCTAGTTTAGGGTGATTTGAATTTCATTAAATGCTTAATAATAAAGAAATTAGCTTTCCTATAGAGTACATTGATAAAGGTAGTGGGAGTTGTTTATTGTAAAATATTTAGACCAGTATGGATAGGGGACTCTTGCCGTTACCTGTGTTGTATAAAATGCCAAAGCAGGCAAAAGTTTTAAAATTTGTAATGATCATTCCATTGTGTCAGTATGTGAACTTCCCTGTGTAGGGATACATAAAATCAATACAAAGAAACGTCCTGTAGAAGATCTACAAAAAGCAATGGAGTTTTGTAATTTATTTTTCCATATAGTTTAAGTTTAAAGTTTAAAGTAATTTAAACTTGCTACCTTCTTCTCAGACAGCTATGAATTCAATAGGTTAATTTAATATGAACAACTGGGGTTTTTTCAAGGTATAAAGCTCAGGTAAAAGAGAAGATAATATATTAATTATTGATTCAGTTATATAGCTCTTGAGGTGCTTAATATTTGGTCTGCCCAAGTAGCACCAAGGTACTCTAGTAAGTAATTTTCTTAGAGAGGTCTTCCATCATTCTCATTGCAAATCCTTACGAAATCCCTAGTCTTACTCTTCTGAACTTCAGACCCCTGAATTTTAATAGCTGCTAATGGATGTTAGCTCATGCTGTCTCACACTGCTGTGGTTGTGGTAACCAGGCAGGAGTGTGAAGAAGAATTATCTGTGTTGCTGACATGTGTTATGGAGAAATTTACTCACTGGTTTTCCTTTTTTTTTTTGTTGTTTTCTTTCCCTGCAGTCTGTGATTGTAAAAAGTGTTGAACGAAATGCCTTAAATATGTATGAGGCACGGAAATGTCTCTTGGGACTTGAAAGTAGCGGAGTCACCGTAGTATCAAATCCCTCTACTGTCTCATGCCCTGTTGGTCTGTCTTGTCCTGGTTTGGATATTTTGTCCTCAGCAGGACTAGGACTCACTGGGCTTGGTATGCATCCATTATATTTATCTCTTTTTTATATAGATTTGTTTTAAACTTAATTCACTTTACTAGGAAGAAGAACCAGATGTGTGTTTTATGTAAGGAATTGTATTGCATGGAGTCTGTACAACAGCTTCTGGCCTCTCAAAGGCCTATTGTTAAAAAACTTCTCCAAGGCTTTTATAATCAGGTGTGGGACTCATCCCTGTAGAAAAATCTCTGAAATTGTGCAAACCACACAGCTGAAAGGGAGGGAAATACAGGTGAAGCAGGACATGGGTTCTACAGCTTTTTTGGCTGTGTGATGTCTCAGGCTGTCCTGAATTTGGATGGGTACTTGAGCGTGGCAGCAGGCTTACTGGGAAAGGTAACAGCAAACACCACATTTCAGGTCAGTATCTCACTGCAATTGAGGGATCCATGTGCTTCTAGTTTAGCAGTAGTAAATTTAGGATAAAAATGAATAAACTCCTTATCTTAATTTTACTGATGCAGCTTATAGCCCAGACTGAAATTACCATTTTATTTTCTAGCTATGCAAATACCTTTGTATCAGAAATGTATAGATAGAAAAAACAAGTAGTGCCAGAAGAATCTAGTGACAAATCTTGACAGAGGTCCTAGAAACTCTTGAGTTCTCATGTAACCAGCATTGTCCCTTGTGACCTGCCATGCAGGAGTGCTGTGTCTCACATGCTTCCTTGGGGTCACACAAGGGAAAGTGTTTGTGCCATTTCATTGTGATTTTTAATGCTGCTTCCTGTGACTGTTCTTGTCATGCTGCACTTTGGGGGCTTGGGGTTTTTACCTTTTCAGTGTGTAGTGCTGAACTGCTTTGTGAATGCTTTGATACAAAGAGCTGGTTTGGGGGAATGTTTTGGGAGTGATCAATGCATTTGGGGGGGTGGTTTACAGCCTTTCTGCAGCAGTATTGAAGGTGCAAAAAGAAATTGAGTAGTTGTTAGTGTGCAAGTTGATTCACAGGAGCTTTTGAGAAAAAGGTTACTGTGTGAAATGAAAGTGAGGTGGTGCAGAGGAGTTGCTTTCTTGTCTCTGTGATGCTGCTTTGAAACAAACCATGAGAAACAACTGAGGGGATACAGAGGGGTGCCAGGGCTGAGAAGCAGCCAGTGCAGACTCTGTTATGACAAGAGGTAGGGTCCAGTAGAAGGACATAAAAGATGCCCCAATTTTTTTTGGATATATGATGCCCAGTTTAAGAACAATAATTCTTAATGTGCTTTTGATGTGCACCAAATGAACATCAGGCTTGATGTTAAAATTGATCTGTGAAATACAGGCAGGTGCAAATTAGCAGGGTGTTTGTTTCTTTTTAATTGATACTTCTGTGAAAAATGTTGTCCTATAAATCTAAATATTTACTTGCATAATTTTTTGCAGGCCTTTTAGGTCCAACAGCCCTGTCAGTCAACACCTCAACTGCTCCAAACTCTCTGTTGAATGCCCTTAATAGCTCTGTGAGCCCTTTGCAGAGTCCAAGTTCAGGGACGCCCAGTCCCACATTGTGGACAACATCTCTTGCTAACACAAACACCCCAGGTTGGTAGAAGCTTAATGTGATTTAAATGAACTGTGCAACACCAAGTCATTAGAATTGCAGTTGCCGAGTTGAGATTAATTAATTCTTTTGAACCTTAATTCCTACGATTACCTTAGCACAGGTGAATAAATATGCAAATTTAAGGTTATAGCTTAATATATGACGTGCTTTCACAGGCAGTGTTTTCATCTGCTTTGTGTAGGAAACAAAATTAACCTACCCAGATAAAGCATTATGGTTTTGGCATGCAATTCTAATGGAAACTTTTAAGTAATGTTTTTAGCAATGTGTCAGCTCCATAAAGATTTAGATAAAGTAGTGTAATGCCTGAGGAAGCTAAATGAGACACTAAAGCAGAACATAACTAAATTTTGTTACAGGTTTTTCTGCTATTCCACACCTAATGATACCATCTACTGCCCAAGCAACCTTAACTAGTATTCTGCTGTCTGGAGTGCCTAATTATGGTCAGAACACTCCATCTCCACCACCAGGCTTGACTCCTGTTGAAGTCCATGTCAATGGCATGCAATCAGAAAGTAAAAAAGGTTCACCTTCTTTAAATGGTCACGTAAAGGTAAGTGATACTATGCAGGAGAATCTGATTTCTTTGTACTAGATCTCTACTAAGAAAAGCTGAAAGAGAAAATTAACTATATTAGTAGATTTATAAAGCTGCTAAGTTTAAAAATACATGACAGTGTTTTTGAATATGAGTTAAAGATTGAGAAATAGAACATTTATATTGTTCTGCTGTACCAGAAATGAATTTCTCATTCTCCTGCACAGATAGAAAGGGGAAATTGTTTCATTATTTCTTGAAGCATAAAAATCACTTCAGTGATTTGTGACAATCTTTTTAGGCCTCAAATATCAAGTATGCTGCACTGTCTGCCACATCTCTGGGAGAAAACGTGTTGAGCACAAACCACAGTGATGGAGTAAGGCAGAAAGGTGCTCATGGAGCCTCAGAACAAGTAGTTGCCAAGGCAAATAGTGAAGAAGGTGAGATTGTGTTCCTTTGTCTGGTAGTGTTTGTACAGTTTGTGTACAGTTCATGATACAAAAATGTACCGATGTTCTCTCTGAATTGGTTTTGCAACCACGTTTAAAGAAAATATTGCTGGATGTCCCAGATTCATTTTCAAGGAAAGTAAATAGAACCTGTAGTAACTGAGCTTTACTGTTGACAGAAACACCTTAAATCTACATAAATGTACTTGCAACATTTTACTTATTCCCTAGGATCAGAGGGAAGATAACATACAAGGATTTTAGTATTTTTTACAGCATCTTAACTAAACTCTGCTGGTTTAAATAATGTTTTATTTTTGCTTTTTAGCAAAAGGAAATAATATCACTGAGAAATTTTTTTACAGAAAATTATGTAGATCTAACCTGGATGTCACTGGGAAACAATTTTGTGTGCTTTTCAACAGCAGTTCAGTTATGCTACCATTTAGAAGCTAAAGTACTTAACTGTCCCCTTCATTCTTGAAGAGGGGGAAAGCCAGCTCCAGCTTGAGCAAATATGTGTAAAGGCCTTGTTTCCCTTTTCAAAACTGATCAAGGAGATAATTTCTTATTTAGGGTTGTGGTCATTTGAAATGCTGATTTGAATAAAAAGTGCATTGGCAATTTAAGGTGATAAATATTTCTAAAATCATGTTCTAAAGATATTTGAACATGAAGTGGGAGTAGCTCTTATTCCAGCAGAAGTTACTGAGCACCTGGCACAGTCTGTTAACACTGGGTATAAAATCAAATTTCTTCAAAATACTTAGTCCCTTTGAATTGCCAGTCTACTCATTCGTTATTAATTATTATTACTTAAAATAAGTAATATACTTATTTTAATATACTTAGTGTGACTACTATATATGTGAGTAGTGGCACCTTTTTTCTGCATTTGAACTTGTACGTCTAGACTGCTTAACCTTGACCAAATAGCTACCCCTGAATACAGTCCTGTAGGGAGGAAGAGGAGGTTTTCTCCCACAGTTATCATTCCCTCAGAAAGCTCCCTAGAACACAGCAGTGTTGTTGTTTAACTCTCCTTTTCTTGGCCTTGTAGGTTGCAATGATGCTTTTGTAGAAGTGGGCATGCCTCGCAGTCCGTCCCACTCAGCAAACACCAGTGACCTGAAGCAGATGATAAGCTCTTCCAAGCAGGCCTGTTCCAAGAGACAAACAGTGGAATTACTGCATGGCACTAAAAACTCCCACTTACAGTAAGCTGAGTGTATAAACACAGATTAGTGGAACTTTCACAACATAAAATTACTTCACATGTTTTTGTACGCAGGAGGGTTGATTCAGTTATAAGATACTCAAGGAACTGATTTAATTTGGCCTTGGTTTTCCATCACATTTGGTGTTAATGTAGCCCTCTGTTTTTCTGGTAACTGCAGATTTTGAGTGCTTTTTGTTCATCCTATTTCTCTTTGGGTTTAAAAAATGTCTTTCCTGTTCCAGAAGAGAGTGGAGATCCTTGTCAGTGGAACTTTCATTACCTGTTTCTAAAGTATGCACTTTTGCACTTTCCTTTATTGATTGCTTAGAGAATAATTTCTGACAGCTTTTTCCTCTTGTGTGTACCTGAGGCTGTTTTTTCCCTTAGGAAAGCTGTGTTCAGGGCATAGCAGCATGTTCTCAAACACTTGTCTCAGCGATGATTTTGGTTGGATTGTCTCTTTAATGACCCAACAGTAGGAATGGCTTGTTTGAATCATAATACATCTTGGCAACACAGGTTTTGTTCTTATTGCGGTGTTTTTGTCCAATGTACTCATGTTCTCACTGTTTGGGAACTGTTTATCACCACTCTTTTGAGACACATTTATTTTGCTTCATTTATTTACATTATTAAGGCTATGATATGTATTTCATTAATTCTGGTTTCACAGTTTAAAAATCCAAGGAATCCTGCTAACCAAATTCAGTTATTTGTGTGTCTTGTTCTTTTTATTGAGGACATACTGCTTACAGTTTCCTTGGGGGTAGTAGTTTGCAGGTTCTAAAACATGATCACTTTTTCAAGAGTTCATACTGTTCTAAAGTAGACCTAAAATGTTGTTGAGTTTAGAAAAAAACAAAAATTGCACCAAGAGGTAATGCAGACACGTAGGACTGCAGTTATTGAAAGCAAGTAGGACCTATGTCAACTTTTAGTCCCTATTATGCAATCTCTTTTCATCTTACAACTATGAACCTGTTACAACTGCTGGCTTGGGCAAGGTGAAACAGGAAACTACTGTGTAGGGTTGCATGCAATAATTCCAGATACCAGACAGCTCAAAACTGAATCCATAGGCTATACCTCTTATTTGGTAATACAGAAAGGAGAAACACTTGCTTTCCTTCACTGACAGAGAAAAAGGTACAGGAAAGCTGAAACATTTGGAAATATTGCTAAAAGCACTGGGATCTTTGTGTGCAGGCATGTCTTGAACCTGGCTGCCAAGCTTCTCAGGGTGAAGCTCAGGTTAGCAGAGCTGCACTGAATGTTGTGTGCCGGTGAAGAGGCAGCCTGAGCTAACAGTGCCTTTGTCCCCCCAGCACTGCGGACAGGCTGCTCTCAGAGGCCGAGCTGGCTGCCCCAGAGAGCCCCGTGGCCGATAAGAAGGCCCCAGGCAGTGAGCGGGCGGCCGAGCGAGCGGCAGCTGCCCAGCAGAACTCGGAGAGAGCACGTCTGGCTCCGCAGCCCTCCTTTGTGAACATGCAGGTAGGTCTCTCTGGATGAAGGCCAGTGGCATAAATCTTGCTGATTGCAGAGTGAAGTTACCATAGAATGCAGAGGGGACTGGGGATTTTCATTACCAGTTCAGTAAAAGCATTCGCAGCCAAGACATCAGCTGTTTTGACTGAGGAGTGGGTTGCCAGTACAAGGTCTTGAAACGAGAAAAGCTCTTATGCTTCTGCTAAGTAAAACAATTTAAGTACAGAAAATTGTGTGGCTGCATTTGTCTCCACAAGCATCATTTGCCTGTTAGAAATCCTACATTGTCATGTGGAGAGAATTATAGGTACAAAATACATGTTACAGCTCTTCATGTGCAGTGACACCTTGGTTAATTGCAGCCTACAAGTATAAGCTACTGCCATGTTACTGCAAATCTCCCCAAGCAGGGAGGAGACCCCTTTGGCTGTTTGTCAGGAAGCAGTAACAGGGTTATTTTTAGTATAGATCTGTTGAAGTGTGGGCATAACCAGACTGTATGGAGTAGTGGAACAAGAGGAAGGCTAGTGTTTTGCAGCCCTTTTCCTCAGTTATTCTTCTAGTCATTTTCAGTAGAGAATGCAATACTTCAGGCTAATACAGAATTTTTGTAGTTTGTAGTTTTAGATTTCCTAATTTGTAATTCTGCAAAGGGTAGCTTGTTTAATCAGGGATATTTGAACTTCACATCTTCCATTGACATAGGTAGAATACAACCGAAAGTTGTTTACATTCTCTCAAAACTTCTTTTCACAAGATGAGTGTATGGAAGAGAACCAAACCTGGAAGATGATTGTAAATAACTGTTGTGCCTAGATTTGCAAAGATGTATTACCTTTTTTGTTCTGTTGAGGAATGTTTTAAATGCCAAAAAGAGATAGTTAAAGAAGAGAAACTATGCTTGAAAGGTATCTTACTAAAAAGCAAATTGAAGAAAAAATTCTTCCTAAGCTGTTTGTAAATACTGCTGCAGCCTCACTCATGTGAAAATCAGTTATTTAAAGTCTTTATCAATGTTTGAGTGAACACTTTAATTGCAACCCTAGACAGTAACTAAGGCTACCATGGAAATATTGTGCAGTATTTCAGGTTTCTCCTAGATATATTCACTGGCCATTTTGAAAACCTTTGTTTTCACAGAGATGAGTACTGGAGTGACATTTAGTTAGAATGGCAATTAAATTATTCTCTGCATGTTTAATTTTTAGGCATTTGACTACGAACAGAAGAAACTACTAGCGACCAAAGGTATGTTGATGAGCAGTGACTTCTGAAAAGTTTATTGGCACGTGGGTGAAATGATTTCCTCAAGTTTCAGTTTTGTAATCTGATTTTTAAGAAAATCTGAAAATAGTAGTGAAACATTTATGTATTAGCTTTATGTTGCAAAAAATTTCTCAATACCAACATGGTAAAAAATACTGTAGAAGCAGCTTGCAGTTGGGATGTGCAAGTACATCCATGTGCAAATGATCAATATGGTTTTCAGAGAGCTCATTGTTGTAGCACTTTGCTTTATTTGGATGCAAATTAAACTTAAAGGTGTTTATTATATCAGCTAAATTGTCTCTTATTTTAGGGATAAATTAAGTTGTAGAATTGGTAAGGAGCTTACCCATATCTTTGACCCTGTTATAAAATAAACCAAATTACCCATTTGCCAAAAGAAAAACTGAAGTTCTTCTCTTTGAAACAGACTCTTTTGGCTCTCATAGAGCCCTGTGGGATTTAACTGTCTTATAGCAGAGTAGATTGCTTTCAGGAAGGGTAGGTTTCAAGCTGTGTAGCAAGCAGGGGTGTTTAGGGTTCCCTGTTTGCTGGGCTCAGGCTGTTAGCGAACATCACTTCAATATTATCCTCTCAGTACCTTTACAAGGGCTGAGACTTGCTGATTTGTCTCTGTATTTCCAGCTATGTTAAAGAAGCCAGTTGTAACAGAAGTGAGAACTCCAACAAACACATGGAGTGGTTTGGGGTTCTCTAAATCAATGCCTGCAGAGACTATCAAGGAACTAAGAAGAGCGAATCATGTATCGTACAAGCCTTCCATGACAACTACATATGAGGTATATGAAAGTATATTGTAATGGAAGTTTACTTTTAGTGAATGATACAGTTGTTTCTCTTGAGAAATGTCTAACTTCTGTAAAAACGAAGTCTTGTAGATAACTGTTCTAAATATTTTTTATAGTGAAAAATATTTCTTAAATTAATATTAAGGTGTATGGTATACGTTCTGCCCAACATACAAATGGATCTATATCTGTTTCATGGATAAGTCTTGGAGCATAGGTATCTGCTTCTTAAAATATTTTTTTAAAGCAGCTTTGAATAACTTAAAGATCAAACATCTCAGTAATTGCAAACAAGCAATAGGGAATTTTTAACCTAATAAGAGCCTATTAAATACACCTAATAAGTGTATATATGACAGATAATCTATATAATGTGTATAAGTGCATGGTGGAGGAGAACAGCAGAACAAGAAGCTCTTCTTTCCTTCTGTGGACAGAACTGTAACAGCTGTCTCTACTTGCACTATTCACTGGGCTCAGAATTTTCCCAGGCAGAAGGCAGACTGAGTCCAGCAATTCTCTTCAGAGTCCCAGCATGGGAATCTTGCAGGAAATTTGTTCCTTTCTTCTCAAAGGCATGCTGAAGTTTCTTTTTAGTGTACTTCCTTCCTGTAATCCTTCCCAGCTTCCATGGAGACACCATTTTCTGTTCTGCCTATATAAAATGTAAATGGTATGTTTCTTGAAGAAGGGGGCTTCACAGTGCTCTAGGATACACCTGTCTGTTAATGCAAAAGAAATACTCAGCCAGAATAAAAATGTGCCTTGGTGTTCTTCACTTGGCATATCAACTTTCTGAGCCATTCAGCTATATGTAGTAGGCTTGGCTACATATAATGCACTAGTAACTAGGGGAAAGAAAAACTTGCAGTCAAAATCTGCAATTTTTTTGGCATACTTTTTTATGTTGGTTGATTTGGGCCTTGATGTCTAAAATCTCTAAGTAGGTCTGTGATTCTAACCAAGAACAGTGTTTCTTCAGGGGTGTCAGTTTTACTAAATAGCATAAAAGATTACCTCTTAAGTGATGCTTTTCAACTGCAATTTGGTACAAGTTTATAGAATTAAATTGTTAATTTCCACAATTTTTAGTTCTTGTAAGTATGTGATATCTATACCGTGGATTTATTTTGGGTACCTTCCCATGGAATACTTCTGCCTTGTATTGCTACATTCTGACCCACAGTGATGAAAACTGATAATAAGTATTTTAAAGGTATATGAAAATCTATTTAAAAAGACTCCAGACAAAGCAACTACAAATTCACAAGGCATTGCAGAATTGTTGTTGTAGTATTGTGTGCAAGACTTGTGTTGTCAAGCAGAGTGTACTTGATCCACTTATCTTCAGATAAATGTTCTGTTCTGTTCCCTGTGAAGGGATGTAGTCAATAGACTGCTTTGTCTAGAATTTGTGTGGGAATTTGATACCATGGAATGTTTTGGAAACTTGGAAATACTGAGCAATTTGTTTTGAATCATGATCTTTAAATAACTCCTGCTTAAAAACTGTGAACTGCATATGTTTTAAGCACACCTGCTGTTTTTGTGTCCAGCTTGCAATTGTTTGACTATTTATCAGCTGCCAAAAGAATGTTTGTGAGCATTAAGAGCTGTTTTTTAAGTGAGCTGCTTCAAAGAAAACATCTGAGTCACAATGAAAGCTCTGTTTTCAGCCCAAATTATCTTTCTGTGATTTGCAGGGCTCATCCATATCTCTTTCCCGGTCCAGCAGCCGGGAGCACCTGGGAAATGGCAGTGAATCTGATAACTGGAGAGACCGAAATGGGCTTGGACCCACTGCCCATGATTTTGTCTCCTCAATTGGCAGCCCCAAACGGAAACAAAACAAATCAGGTTAATAAACTCTTAGTATCTGATTAAAAGAAAATAATCATATTGATTTCAATATTTATTCTGATATGAATGTATCCTGACTTCACTAGGGCTTTAAATTGCTGTCACCTTGTAAAGTAATTATTTCTTTTACAAACTGAGAAATGTAAGCTTGTGCAACATGTTAATACAAATAATGGTCTAAAAGGAAATCTCTTAAGAATATTTGTTAAATGCCGAACATCCTTGTTGAAAACTCTTTGCTGTTATGGAGTGGATTTTTCAAGGTGTACTGAAACCAGACCTGTAAAAAGGCTTATTTCTAGACTACTCTTATTCTGCTCTGTTGACAATGCAATAGCAGCCTGGGCTTCACTGGGTTATTTACTTACTGGTGAAATCAGAGTCTGTGCTGAAACTGGATTTTAAAGCATGATTCTCCTTATGGGGATAAAATTTACAAGAACGTGTAGTGACAGGACAAGTGGGGAGTGGCTACAAAGACAGTAGGTTCAGGTCAGATATTATGAAAAAAATTTTCCCTGTGAGGGTGCTGAGGCCCTGGCAGAGGTTGCCCAGAGAAGGTGTGGCTGTCCCTGGATCCCTGGAAGTGTCCAGGGCCAGGCTGGACAGGGCTTGGATCAACCTGGGATAGTGGAAGGTGTCCCAGCACATGGCAGGGGTTTGGAATGAGATCATCTTTCAGGTCCCCTCCAACCCAGGCAATTCTATGAAAAGGAATTTGTCCATGTGTTTGGCATGGCCTAGCATGATTTTAAATACTGGTTTCTGTGGATACAGGCTATATGTTTCATACTTTTTAAACATTGTTTGAAGATCAAAAGTTGAAATTTACTTTAGTTAAACTCTTTGAAACTTTATTTTTAAAATAAGTTAATAGATACCTTTTTGAAAGAGTGAAAAGTGGAGGTAGAAAATACTAAATCCATACTATCTATCTACTTTATGGGGAAATAAGGACGCTCACTGTTTATACTTTTTGTTGTTGCTTTTTCTTTTAAAAGAGTAAACCTAAATCCAAAATTCAAAGTACACAGATAATAAAATTTGGACATAGTAAGAAAGGATAGTGCCAATTAGAAAAAAAATATTCATGGGCTTAAAGAGCACATTAGTTTAGCTGTGAATGGTTGCACATCATATTCTAAATACTTGGAGATCTAAAGAGATGACAAGTTTATTTGAGATTAATCTATTGATGTTTTCAACCTTACTGCCCAAAACAACCTAACAAAAATGGAAGTTCTAAGTTAATTAAAAGAATTAAGGATTAAAAATATATTTACATGTGCATTAGAAGAAAATTGGAAACACAAATACATTGGCAGTGAAAGAAAATGCTCTATGGCAGCTGTAGCTTTCCCAGAGAATAAAATGTGTGGATAAAGGATAAAAGAAACAGTGATGAGTTGGCTGGACAAAATAGGTCTATAGAAAACAAACACTGGAACTAAATTAAGTTAATTAAGGAGGATCCTAGTAAACATAGACCAGTTTGTCTGACCTCAGTACCTGGTAAGGTAATGGAACAGTTTCTACTGAGTGTCATCATGCAGCACTTACAGGATGGCCAGGGTATCAGACCCAGCTAGCATGGATTTAGGAGGGGTAGGTTGTGTTTGACCAACCTGATCTCCTTTCATGACCAAGTGACCCACCTGGTGGACGCAGGAAAGGCTGTGGATTTTGTGTACCTGGACTTCAGCAAGGCCTTTGACACTGTCTCCCACAGCACGCTCCTGGAAAAGCTGGCAGCTCATGGTTTGGACAGGAACACTCTTTGCTGGGTTAAGAACTGGCTGGAGGCCAAGCCCAGAAAGTGCTGGTGAATGGTGCTGCATCCAGCTGGTGGCCAGTCACCAGTGGTGTCCCTCAGGGGTCTGTGCTGGGGCCAGTCCTGTTGAATATTTTTATTGGTGACATGGATGAGGGTATTGAGTCTTTCATTAGTGAATTTGCAGGCGACACTAAGCTGGGAGTGTGTGTTAATCCATTGGGAGGTAGGAGGGCTGTGCAGAGAGACCTGGACCTGTTGGATGGATGGACAGTGTCCATAGGATAAAGTTTAACAAGTCCAAGTGCCAAGTCCTGCATTTTGGCCACAGTAACCCCCTGCAGTGCTATAGGCTGGGGACGGTGTGGCTGGACAGTGCCCAGGCAGAAAGGAACTGGGGGTACTGGTGACAGCTGGCTGAACATGAGCCAGCAGTGTGCCCTGGTGGCCAAAAAGCCAACGGCATCCAGGCCTGGATCAGGAATAATGTGACCAGCAGGGGCAGGGAGGTCATTCTTCCCCTGTATCTGGCACTGGTGAGGCTGTACCTTGAGTTCTGGGTCCAGTTCTGGGCCCCTCAGTTTAGGAAAGACTTTGAGACGCTTGAGTGTGTCCAGAGGAGGGCAACAAGGCTGGTGAGGAGCTTGGAACACAAACCCTGTGAGGAATGGCTGAGGGAGCTGGGATTGTTTAGCCTGGAGAAAAGGAGACCCAGAGGTGACCTTACCACTCTCTACAGCTTCCTGAAAGGTGGCTGTAGTCAGGTGGGGGTCGGTCTCTTTCTCCAGGCAGCAACTGACAGAACGAGAGGACACAGTCTCAAGCTGCACCAAGGGAAATATAGGTTGCATGTTAAGAAAAAGATTTTAAAAAAAGAGTGATAAAGTATTGGAATTGTCTTCCCAGGGAGGTGGTGGAGTCACCATCCTTGGATGTGGCGCTTGGTACCATGGTCTATTTAAGGTGTTAGGGCATGGGTTGGACTTGATGATCTTGATGATCATGGAGGTCTCTTCCAACCTAGTGATTCTGTGATTCTGTGACTCTGTGATGGATGAATGTTAGACATACTGATTTTGCATTTAGAAGTTTACTGGATGCCATTTTAAATCAATATTTCCGGTTAAAGTTGATTTGTTGTCAGTTTGTTTAATATGTACTATATAAAACAGCAGTAACAATCAACAGGGTGTGTGTGGTTTAGGACATGGTAAGTGTATTTCCCAAAGGCCTTGGAAAATACTGCCAAAGTCTGCAATTCAATATACATCTTAGAGCCTATAACTTTGCTAGGGCAATTAAGTCTTCAGTATTATTCAGGAGCTCTGATACTTAATTTTGCATGTTTAGTTTTTGGAATGTCAGTTTTTTTGTGGATAATTAGTAAACTAACTCCTGTCTTTTCTAAATTCCAGTTATTCAGTCCATTCACTCTAATTTATTTGCTTGAGAACCACATTTTAGTAACTATTGAGTTGATGGCAACTTCTCTGAAACAACTTCCCTTAAAATCCCATGGTGACGCTGGTGATTGCCCTAAATAGCATTTGGGCAATCCCCCTTTGGCCAGTCTGTCTCCTTTTAGAGATAGAATGTGAGATGATGGAGAGACAAATCAGATGGATCTGTGTAATGTACACCAGAAATATTACTACCTGGAGAGCATGGGGTTTCTCTAACCCTCAGAGTAAAGGCATTGTTTCAGTTCACTCCAGATCCCTACTCTTCACCTTAACCTCCAGTTGTAATGTAACCAGAGCATTTTTATGGTCCATTCCCTCCTCCAAGGAGAGATGAATGGAAATTGATAGCAAGCCCTTTCTTATTTAAATAGATTTCATCAGACAGCATAAATTTACTCATGGATTAATGTTTCATGAAAACTAATTGGGTTTTAGAAAACTTGGAGCAAAATGCCAGATTTCTGGACAAAAAGCTGCATGCCAGTTTTTTTTGCTTGTGCTACTGGAAATCTTCTGGTGATTTGATATCATTGCTCCAAGGACTCTCGCAACCAGGGTTCATGATATTCCTGTCTTCATGGTGAATACTCTGAGAGGACTCTGAGGACTTCTAGGTCGTTCCTACCACAGCATGGGAAAGGAAATAAAAAGTTCCTTCTGTCCTAAGTTTTTTCTAGTATGGTGCAGCATAAGGAACCTCTGAAAATAGACAAACACATCCTCTTTTTCCCCCACATTAAAATCCCCCCTCTCAGAATTAGTGATTTTCCACCTTAAAAAGTTACTTTTCAGATTGTTTTGTATCCAAAAGAATCTTTAAAATGCTAAACTTTCATACTTATCTGGAATTTAGACTTGGAAGAATTTTAAGCTCTAATGGTTTTCTGAGAAATAACAACTTCTCAGCACTGATACATGATAATATCTGTTTTTCTTAACTGGTTACCTGACCAGAACCTCCCATTTCTATTTCTTGATGCTTATTTAAAAGGACCCACACTAAATAACAGCCATCTTTTCAGCTTCCATGAAACAAGATATCTTTTTACAGCTGGGAAACCAAGGGCCGAGAGGAATATCATTTGCAATGTCATGCAAAACTCAGTGGAAAGCTTGGCAAGAAAGATCTTGATCTGATCTGACTCACAACACCTTCTACTTGCTCTTCCATGCACACTCCAAAAAAGAAAGACTACTCTTTCTCTCTAAGGAATAATGCCAGTAAAAGTTGCAAACAAAACACTCTGTCCTCTACTCTTTCCTTTCTTCCAAAGCTAATTTATGGAGCCTTTTAGTGGCTCCATATTGCTGTCTTCTAAGTCCTGAGCACATGGAAAACCTCTCACTGTTCTAAGGTGGTAAGAAATGGGAGGAAGCTGTAACCATAATCTCCCTATTACAATGAAGAAACTCTGCCTTTGGCCAAGATCTTTTTTACCCTCTTTCCCATTCAGAATTGTATTTTTCTGGGAGATTTGCTTTTGAGTGCAACCATCAGCAGTTTTTTACCTTTTGGTTCCTTTTCAAGTGGAGACTCTCTGTGTACAGCCAGGCCCTAAGTCCTCAGTGTGTAGTGAGCCTGTCCTATGCTAATGCTTTGTGCCCCCCCTGCATCTACCTCTGCAGCACTGATATGCAGTCAGCTTAAGAAAGATGAGAGTATAGATATGTAACACAAGCTGAGCACTTGGGCTCAAAAGAGCACAGGGCTCTTTTGTCTTTTATTGTGTTGGTAAAAATGTTCAAGTAAAGGTATGATAAAG